AGCAAGTGGATGAGTTTGTATACTTGGGATGTTTATTTAGCAGCGATGGTAGATATGATAAGGATATAGAACGACGAGTGAACGCAGGAAATAGAGTGAATGGGGCCATATACGCTATTATGTCAGAATGTGTCAAATAAGGCACGTATGGCAATTTATAATGCTATGTTAGTCCCTACTTTAATGTATGGTAGTGAAAGTTGGGTCTGGTAGAAGAAGCATATGAGTAGAATAAATGCTGTAGAAATGCAATCCTTAAGGAGTATGCTAGGGCTGAATCTGAATGACAGGGTGAGAAATAGTGTGATAAGAGTAAAGTGTGGTTTGCAAGATGATGTTGTGACAAGGATTAAGAAAGGAATGCTTCGGTGGTTTGGTCATGTAGAAAGAATGAACGAGGAAAGAGTGACAAAGCAAATTTATGTTGCAGAAGTGGACGGCAGGTTCGGGAAGGGACGCCCTAGACGAAGGTTTATCCACCAAATCTGCGGTACATTAAAAATGGGTCAGATTAGGAGTACCCTTAACCGACGAGCGTGTATGCGTAGATATATGGATGTAAAGGAGGCGAGAGAGGTGTATCAGGATTGCGCCAAATGGAAGTCCGTATTCTCTGCCTACCCCTCTGGGTGACAGGCGTGAGTGTTTATGTATGTATGTATGTATATAACGAATACATTTTTTTGGGTTCGCTTTTTTCATTTAAAAAGAAATTCTAGTATCAGTATAGAAAGCTAAAGCAAAACATTGCAGTTGTGGTAAATACTTAGCTCGTGCGAGCTTCCCACTTTTAAATTTTTTTTTAAGTTGACCCTTAATAAGTTCTGTTTCTTCAATGCCAATTTTCTCAAAAACCATCCGTTTCTTTTTATCTATCAAAGATTTTTCATTCAGATCCTGGAGATTTTTTCAACCCAGCAACATTTTCTAAATAAAGAGATTTAGCTTGGAGCCTTTTAATATTTTTTCTGATAATACAGGGGTTGCTGAATTCTTCTTTTTCTTGATGTAAGTGCAATGGTGGGAATCGAATTATAATTTTCAGAAAAAACTAGGTTATATTATGCTATTATCATCTTTCTAAGCATCTCACTCGATATCAATAATAAAATAGTAGAAATTACTATTTGATAAATATGTTCCTATTTATTTTAATCGTATTATCTTCGGTAAACTATTAAAACAAAACTCACACGTGGAGGAGTTGATATTGTACATGAAGATGTCAACGAATCAAGAATAGTTAGAGTGGCACTAATGACATCGTAAGACGATAGTTTATCATCTGGTAAATGATAAGTGATGGCTATGGAAAATTAGATTTAACATTGTAAATTTTTAGAAGTGGAGTAATCTGGCCTGGCAATGGCAAAAGCAAGGCTGAGTCTGGCTGCCTGGGTAGGCAACGCATTTGCAATCTTCTGTTGGCGTTGAGATCGTAAATGTCCATGGGTCACAGTTGACTTACTATCAGGTTGACTGTACGCTACTATGATGTAAAGGAAGAAAACAATAACACAGAACGAGAGATTGTACAACCAGTGCGTGTTGCCATTGATGACTTATGGATCTAAGACGTGCTCCTTCACTACTGGCCGTATGAGGAAGCTCAACGTCGTTCCGCGAGCAATGGAGAACGCTATGCTTTCTCTGCATGATAAACTTAGAAATGAGGATAACCGCAGTAGAACCAGAGTGACCGATTTAGCCCAATGTATTAGTAAGCTAAGTGGCAATGGGCTGCCCATATAGCTCGAAGAACGGACAACCGATGGGGAATAAAGTCTCTCGAGTGGCAGCCTCGTACCGGCATGCGAAGTGTAAGGCATCCCCCACTAGATGGAATGACGTCCTGGTAAAACATGCAGGAAGTCGATGAATGCAGGTGGCTTAGGACTGTGCTTTGTGGCATTCTTCACACCTTTTCACACCTTTACACATCATACACACCTTCCTTTTGAATCAGTCTGTCTATTGATGAAAGCCGCATCAAAGTCCGTTGCGTAGTTTAAGATCTAAGCGTACAGACGGCGGGAAGCGACTGTTATATACAATGAAGGGATTATTTAAAATTCCAATGCCAGTGAACGGAACAATAATACAGTGTGGTATTAAATTTGGTTGAGATTCCTCATCTAATCACTTTATATTGTTCGCCAACACTTGAAAATCAGAGGTATGGAAATGATCTGAGCAAATTACACTGTTTCTTGTGGTAAGCCAGGTAAACCTGTTATTACAAAAGTACTTCCATATATTCCTTAAACTCTGATCTTTAGGAAACCTGCAATAACAATATTGTTGACGTTCACACGTAGTTATTATAATAATTAGTATAATATAATACTCGTAAGTATTGTATTATATTTACGTTTTATGCAATTTTAATATTAACTATATTAAATATATAAAGCTCAAAATAAATATTAAATAAATCAGAAAACATGATCTCAAAAATAATTGTATGCACAAGGGATATGGCTGTACAGACCATATTTGCCATTTGCCATCTTTATCGATAACTTTTATATTTACAAACCGGTATATCAAAACTATCGCTCGGTGACAGCAAGAACTCGGATACAACCACAGAACACAATTACTCTCTACCGAGAGAAGACCGCCAACTTCATACTAAAAAAAGGAAACTCGTATTTATGAGTGTGCACTAACTATATTGCTTGTGCCCGACAGCCGATCGCGATTTGCGACGATATTGTATCGCAGTGGTATCGAAATCCGAAGTCAAACCGTATATTATACCGTATGACGAATGAATACCGAGCAGATTCGATCGCCGCCAAAGTTCCACGTTAGATATTATACCAAAGTAGAGAGGAGTGCGCGATTGATGAAACTGAAATAGCTACACAATACATACGATTATAAGTATTTTGGCGCGACTGTTTTATAAAATTTTAACTTCTAAGGGCACTAATGATCGCAATGCACTTGTATGTTGTAGCACTTATTAAAATTTGGCCTTGAACTAAAGAGCAAAAAAATTAGGAGCCAATATTTAAGTATTTTTGAAAAATTCTATTTATATTTTTGTTAGTATTGAAAATTTTGAAATTAATAATTTGATTTCGTTTTAAAGTTTACTTGTGTTATTTCGTTATACAACAATTTAATTTTGTGATTCACATTATAAGTGTAAATAATAATTTGTGCATAAGTATGTACCTATTTTATATTATAGTGCAGTAAATATATTTTAAACTTAAAAATTTCTCGTTTATAATAATTTGGTGACTGAGAAAATAATTTGTGACTCATTTATAACGGTGTATATATAAATCTGTAGTGTGCAGTATTTGTGTATAGTACTATAGGTATTAATTTTGTTAAATTAAAACTTTAAAATGTCTCGTATAAATTTGAATGTAAATTATACAGATTAGCAAATGGACTGATAAATACGCCTGCATTATTATAGTGAGACGGTATATATACCGCCTCACTATAATAATGATATATATATACGTACGTAATTAATTGTTAAAACAATAAAACTCGGTTTTTTCAAAACCGAAAATATTGCAGCCAGTCCTAAGCCTGGTAAAGGTATGAAGGACAGTCCATTAAAAGTGAGTATTAGTTTAGTTATATATTGTATAAAATACATAGTGCATACTCTAGTTTTTATAATAGTACCTAGTCACTCTAAGTATCATATAGGGATACAATATATACTGTACGTACGTAGCCGAGTATCGAATCAGTATCCACTTTGTCAAGAATCGTCGCGAAACCGGTATCGAAATAGCTGCATAAATCATAAATACGGCATAATATTGACAATATATAGTTTCAGAAAATATAGTGTTTCGAAATCCGATATCAAATATAGTTTCGATATGATATTCAGAAATTACGATATTACCCACTCCTACTGTGCCGTACCTGTCATATCCCGAACGTCCAACCCAATGTTAGACAAAGACAAAAATCATTTTACATGTGCAAGAAAGGTTCAAACTTTTTACCTGTTTACATTGACGGTATCGTTCAAACTAGTTCCATTGTTGTGTGGAACATAATTAATAATTTCTAGGACAAGTAGTATATCGTTAGAAAGGGTATCATGAAAAGAACTTTTTTAAATAAAGCTAAGTTCAAAATGGCTTTTAATTGTTTTAATAATGAATTTAGAATTCGTAAAATTTATTACATTAAATAAAAAAATTAAACTTTAAAAAATCAAGCTTGTTAGGAATTTTCTTGAAACTATGTGTTTCAAACAAATATGTATCTAGATTTAAAAGACTTTGGAAAATACAACAAAATTTATTTTGTGTCATTACACCCATTACAAACAAAAGAATTATTTCGAATGAAAGGAAACATTTTAGGTATTTTTTTCATTACAAAAATATGTAACCAACTGTGACATTTGGGACAAAGGGTGTATGGGTAGAACAAAGCTAATGACCTTCCAAATCCCTGGAAAAATTGTGTCGGTCCATGCGCCAAACAGCCTATATGTGTAGATACTTATAAATTGTTTCAAAATTATGTAGGTATATACAGCAAGGGAAAAAGTAACAATTACAGTCTGTCAAGAAACTCATGAAAAAAAGGAGGGCGCTACTATCTTTTATACAGCATCCCTATAGATCTCAACCGAAAAGTTTTGATATTTTTTATTTTATTTTATAAACTGATTTAATATTATGATCCCTTTACTGTCATATTTTTTCAAGTACATGCTTTTATTGCGTAACCTTTGACCCTTGTAAATCCCACCAACAGTAATTAGCTAAACTCACATACTTAATAATTGAGATAATTTGACTGTGAATCCTACAAGTAATTAAGGAAAGCGGGTTTTACACATGACCAGCCTTGACAGACTGCAGACATCTAAGGTGCGAAAATAAAACAAAAAAAAATGTTGATACATAGTTGTTATATTTTGATTATTAATCTGATTCCAAATAATCGGAGTCGAGGTATTCAACTCCTGAAATGCTGTCTGAAGCTCCTGCGTAATTAAATTAGTCCATTTCTGACTCTTCAGATTCACTGGAACTATCATCACTTACTGAGATGACAAGTTTGTCTATATCATTATACAGAGATCCTCCACGAGCAAAATATTCATCGTCGTCCACTTTGCGCCGAATTGTGCTTCCAAAAACACCTGAAACCAATGTAGACATGTAAATAATAAATACCTTATTCATATCTAAGCAAATAATACAAAAGGATCAAAACTGACTGTGTAGTATAATTCTTAAACAAATTTCATTACCTCAACTATTTGTAAACAATATAATAAAACGCATAAATTATACTTAAAAACAAATGATAGATATGAAATTACAGTATTTTTAAATTGTGTTTAACATTATAATACATGTACGTACCAGTTATCTTTGCTGTTCGACCGTAAACATCGTCTAAAGCCTTACACTCTTGAAACACTTTAAATATGACTTGTCTGGTACTACTCTTATAAGCACTGCGTTTCATTTTTGATCACTAAAGACTAAACGGTCATACGATAAGAAAAACTCGAAATATAACAAAAAATCTTAAAGCATATCAACTACAAAGCTACGATATGACAGCTGAGTTACTCAGTTTGACAATAATTTATTGTTGCCAGTAGTTCCAAAAATATTATTTTCATGACTTTCTTGACAGACTATATACTAGCATATCAATTTACATAGAATAGTTATTAAGCGACAACCGACAACGACACTACAAAATAAAGTGAAAGCAATGACCACTATGACATTCCTGGTGACACTTGACAATTAAGTTTGACACACCATAATGATATTATTTTAGGTTAGCGATGAGTTCAGGAGATCTGAATTATTCAAAATTTTAAATCTTCAGAGAAGATGCAAGACAAAGAGAATATAATTACTACGTTTAAAAGGCGGGACTTCTATAGTAAAAGTAAATGCATGAATGTACGCCAAACTACTCTACCAACATCAAGATATGACATTTAGTTTTGAGCATTGTTGCTGACAGCATTGACGAATTACAATAGTGCTGAAATGTCTATCCTCGAATAATCTTATCGATATTACCATTATCGATATATTGTTTATCGATATTGTTACATAATAAAAGTTAGATCTCTACACTGAATTATTTATGAGAAATACATTTTTTAACGTAAGGATTGAGTAAAAATGCCGATGACGAAAAGAAATCAATGTATTTTAGACACCGCAATTCGTAATTATATCTCTACAGTTAAGTACAAAAATATATACAAAGAAAATATAAAATAAAAAACGCACTATTATACTAGTAATTAATTAAGTAAATAATAAATGACGACTAAGTAGCGCAGTGGCTAAGCGTTTGGCTGCGGCATAACAGGACCGAGGCTTCGTTCCCGCACTGAACAATTGTTGCTATGCTGTAAAATAAATAGTCTGCATCTGGATGCTTGTTTTCAACGTTAGTTTTTATATAGGGTAAAAATATTGGGTTTTTAACACTAATTGGATTAAATTGCTTTTATGTTTAACAAATACTATGTACAAATCGCTAGGCTTCTTTACAGAGGTTTCTATGCACGTACTATTCGCTGAGATCGTTTTTAAATTATCGCTTACAAATGTGTGCTCATTTTAGCTAATGTTTGTAGATGAATCTATAAAAACAATGATTTATAATCAGGTACAAATAACTTTGAGTTTATTTATATACCTAATCGAATTCTTACCAAAATGTGACTTAAGAGGGATATTATCTTTTGCTACATGTAAATGAAACCTAATTAACATACACATTATTGTAGAAGTTTAGATTAAGTCCACTGATGAAATAACAGTTCGTTTTAGTAGGGTTCAAATGTAATGTTTGCCACAAATATGTTTTAACATGTGAATCTTTTCAATTGGTGCATGTGCCAGCTATTTCACCCATTGCTTGCATCTGAAAAAATTATATAAATAAAATATTTATTGAACAAATAAAATGTTTGCAGTCACAATTGTCTCTAGTGTATATACAGTAATCTATGGTTTTGAGTTAGTCTATGATTTGTCTAGGAAAAGCCGACTTAGTGTTTTGGTTCAAGTGTTTTATGGTTTTATTTAATTTTCAAGCTTTATTTAAAGTGTCTTGTTTTTTAGGATAGCTAAATATGACTTGGGGTTTTGTAACATGTGGTCCGAATGAGGCCCTCGTTGTTTCAGGTAAGTTATTTGAAATACCGCCTAAAATATTTTTGGATAATGTACATACTTAAAATTTAAGTATCTCTTTTTCCATATTAAAAGTTGGCGATGATTTATCTTTTAATAATCAAATAGTATTCATTTAGCCGTAGTGATTATAATAACAAGGTTATTCATTAGCCAAGCGAACTACTTAATCCTTTTGGCTACATTAATGTCACTAATTGCCGCGCTTATTTTAGTTGTAACATTAATAGTAATTATAATTAAAGTAATGTTTTGTCATAGTCATAGTAATTCTTATTTTTAATTGTCTCATATTCTTTTCTCAAATTAAAATTTTATAAAATTATAACATGCTTCTGGATCTAATAAAAATTATATCATACGTTGCTTTAAGTTTCCTGACGGCTATATATGATGATTTGTCTTTCGTGTTTTTCAAGCAATGTATGCTTTACAGCCTTGATGGTACATCCAAAAGATGTTCTGCTATGTAAAATGAATCTGTTCTACTTCATCTAAATGGACCACTATCTGTTCTACATCATCTAAATTGATCATTAAATCTGCATGTGTGTATTTGTGCATGTGTATTAGTATGTACAATAAAGTGTATAAATAAATAACGAAATTGGCCTCTTCTTTGTTCATGTCCATAGCTTATGTTGGATACAAAAGTTTTGCAATCATAGTTAAGATTTCCTATTTTTATTTGCATTTATAACAAGTTATATTACTTTTGTTGTCTCCAAATGTTGATTATTTCTTCATCTAACAATATATTTAAATAAACTACTACTACATTAAGCTGTTACTACTGTATTATATATTTTAATTTCCTTTAATCCTAATAATAGAAAAGTTTTTCTCGCCTCTTCATATTTTCTTTTATCTGAGCATTCTTATTCCCCTAATTATTGTTCAAATCGGCAAAAAACATTCAACTATTTAAACAAAATATTCACCTGATGTATATTGTATGTAGTAATCTTTTCTTCAAATATAAATGTGTATTATGTAAAATTTTACGTAGCAGTGCTATTTAAGCAGGGTGAACACAAAGTCTACTGTTGTTGTGGTACATTATTAGCTAAGCGAGTACAAAAAGTGACTGGTTACTTCTAACAAATCGAGCTAATTCCAATATGTAGTGATGGAGAATTTTCTGTTTAACCTTTGACTTCGCCTGCGTTGCTTGATTTGTTAACAAAGTAAATATATAAATACAAATGTAGAAAACAAATGATATGAAAATTTGTTACATAAACAGTAAAAAATTACTGAGAAATCTATAGGAAACTACAGACAACTACGGCTATTGATCAAGGTATAACTGAAAGGCATCAGGTTGCTTGCGCAAATAATGCATGGCTGGTCTTAACTTTATCACATCTTGTCACATACGCGTGCGTGCTACACTGCTTACCTCACTTCTTCGTCACAAGAAAACACATCACTGAACACATAGTACTTATAAAAATTGTTGTTTCTTAAAACTTGAATAACTATTTTAAATGAAATGTCTAAGAAATAAAACTTGGAAAAGCTAATTGAAATCTATCCAGTAGTTTTTCCATGATGCTTGCACAACTGCAAACCTCTATCATTTTATTTATATAGATAAATAGTGGCTTACATCAGTACTGAGTGTATTATACTGTACATAGGGCATATGTATTGTTATTGCATTATGAATACTGTATCTTCATTAGTTTAGTTGGCCCAAATATTGAGGCCATATCTGAAGGCAAATTTAAGTATAGGTCAAGATGTTCTATCCAATATCATTATTATCTAAATTTGGAGTAAGCAAATGCACAGTAGTAACTTTCTTTATAGTGTAATTATCATATATGAAGTTTAATTAATGAGTTTGAAATCTTTATACAAATTGCATTATATCATATTATTTCAAAATTGAGATGATAGTGAAAGATTAAATCCCTTAATATTGCTCTAGTATTCCCGTCCACCACCCCAATTAAGCTAAAACTGTTTGTGCTTATTGGTTGTTAAGAACAAATACAAAAGGTGATTGGTGGGTTTGAAGTGAATTTTTACAGTATTACTGTGTATATATATATATATACATTTTTAGTGTGTAGTGGCTACATAATAACATTTTATGTTCCAGTGGGTGTGGTAAAATGCGACTTAGGGAAATACTCCACAGATTTTGTAGCTTCCGATATATGTTATTATAATAATCTCATTGTCACAAATATATCTTATCTATCACACATATATTTAAGCCTAATGCTGCATAACTGCAATCACCAATCCATTATGTAACATGCTGATTTAGAGGCTTAATTTGATTCCAGAGGCTTGATTGCAAACACTTCTTACTATGAAAATGCTCATATGCAGTTGTTGACTGTTTATGTGGGTTATGATGATGGAAAAACATTTTTACTAAATGTTAGCTTTCATTTTTAATATTTTTATAGGATGCTGCTACTCCAAGCCACTTCTTGTTCCGGGTGGGCGTGCATTTGTCTGGCCAGCAATACAACGTGTGCAAAAGATATCACTTAACACAATGACACTGCAGGTAGAATCACCTACTGTCTACACAAGTCAAGGTGTTCCTATTTCAGTAACGGGTATAGCACAGGTACTTGTAGAAAAAAAATCCATTAATATGATAAAAAATTAGCATAACAGCAGTGTATATTTATTAATATTTAGATTTTGGAAATTCTATAAATATATTATTTACATTTAGTATGTCAATATAAAACTGACTCAAAAGCTAAATACTATTTTGTAGATAAATGTATGTGTATTTAAAATTTGACTTTACATTACAGGTGAAGATTCAAGGTCAGAATGCTGAAATGCTTCTTTCAGCATGTGAGCAATTTCTTGGCAAATCAGAACAAGAAATTCAACATATTGCCCTCGTGACCCTAGAAGGTCACCAGCGTGCTATTATGGGATCAATGACTGTTGAGGAAATATACAAAGACCGAAAAATATTTTCCAAAAAGGTTAATCCAGTTTATATTAACTATTAGAGTGTATAGTCTTGTATATATTACGCTAAAATAGTCTCCTTTTCCCTTATTTTTATGTCATATGCATGAATTAAAAATAACAGGATTTAACATAAGATGTAGTCCTTATAGCAAGAGTCCCTAGTTGACCTAATGCTCAATTCAAGCGTCAGTAGCCTAATGGCAGGACATGGACCGCAAACTCGAAAGGTCGTGGGTTCGCATCCGCCATTCGATATATTAGTAAAGTTTAATAGCATTACTAGTATTTAAAAAAAAATTACCTCTATAGTGTCTCCCAACGAATAGGTCTTAAACA